AACACCGGATATGCTCAAAGGTGGTTTTAATTTCGTACTTGGAATTTAAAAAATCCATAAATGAATTATTATTGGAAGCATTATCTAAGGTAATGCCCATTCCTTTGCTTGTAAGACCGAATTCAATCAAAACTGACAAGAATGTATTAGATAAATTTGAACCTGAATGGGAATCAGGCAAGGATTTGAAATCAAGAGTTTTGGCATGTAGGTTCCAGTCTTTGTCAATGTAATGAGCCGTTATGCCCATAAAAGCAATGTTGTTGGGTGATGTCCAACAGTCAGTGGTGAATGAAACCTTTGAGTCAAGATTCAAAAAAAGGGTCTTTAGCAATTGTTTTTTGGTGTTGTAAGTGTCCATTATCTGGCGTTTTAATTGGCGCGCACTCATAATTGACAAATTTGGTTTCAGTAGAGTGAGTAGTTTACGAAAGTGGCTGGACTCTACCTCATTAAATGATTGATCATTCTTGACAATCCAGCTAACTAAGTATTCATTGAATAGATCTGGAGAATAAACGATTGGTGTCATTATCATGTCATCTAAACGTCGTTGCTTTGGTTCTCTGTCCCCAAGTAATTTGCTTTTGTGTTGAGAATTTAAATGGTTCATTAGATTTGTTGTCCCACCTTTATTGTAAGCATACTTGTTCTTGTGCTTTGGACAATGCTGGCATATGGCCATGCTCATCAACTGTGAAATGATCCCATACAATTGATTGTGAACGTTTGGTGGTTTTTGTAACAGAAGATGATTCGGGTTCTGGATTATCCGACATAATTAGGAATGTATATTTGATTTCTTTCAAAACAATAGTTTGGTTAGGGGTACTAATTAATTATTCAATCAATCAATCAATATATATTTTTGAAATAGATACATTTCAAGGTTGTTTACAAATAGTAAATATACTAATATTAAGTAAACACCTAATGAAAATGATTAAAATAATAATGGTTTAAATAATAAAAATAATATTAATAATAATGATAACAATAATAATAATTATATATAAGTCACTTGTCTTTATAAATACAATAGCTACATAAACAAAGTTAGACAGTTACAAACAGTTACAACTGATAAAACGTAAAAGTAAACAATGACATATAGCAACTATTATAATAAAAAACAAGGAAAAATAATTAATGAAAATAAGAATAACGAATATTAAAATAGAAATAATCATAATATAGTTTAAAAAAAAAAAAAAAAAAACATACATAAACAGATCAAATTTACAAAAACAGCTACAGTAACAGCAAACAATACAAACACAATAGCAACAACAACACAAGTTTTCACAAACATACTACAAACAAAACGGCAAACTTAAACCGACAAAAAAAAGATTAACAAATAAAAAAAATTAGGAAATCTACCTGAAACCTGGAAATATAAAAATAAGTTATAGTAAAATTTAAAAAAAAAATTCTTTGCTTTCAAGCAAGCCATTATTATATTTTTTTATTATTTTCTTTTTTCGAATGATTGTTTCTTTCTCTAAATGTTTTTCTATTCGTTATTGTTTTACTTTTTCCATTTTTGTTGTGGTTAAATTGTATTTGCAATTTTTTCTTTTCATTTTTACATATATTTTTTTCTACGTTTTTTCTTTTAATCTTCTACTTTGTTTACATTTCTTTTCTTTTTTTCTTTCTCTATGCTCTTTACTTTCTCTTTAATATTAACAAACTTTAATTAAAAACTCTTTTTTTTTTTTTTTTTCGTTATTGAAAGGCGACCGCCATTCCGGAAACCACTGCAAAGACCCCGGAATAAAGTGATATATATGTTTGCGGGCCTGTAAAATTTGGCGTTTTTTTTTCAAACGCAAAAATTGAGAACAAAGTGAATATTTGAAAATCAAATCCAAATCCTCCAGATATTTGTCAAATCAAATTCAAATCTATCCCCTCAAAGAACAGTTCAAATTCAAATCTTTAAAGGTTTGACGTATATTTGATTTTGCCGAACACTAATTATTAGCAAGGACTTAAATCAAAAAATTCTAACATCCCATCTTTAGTCTAATAACTTACTGTCTAACAATCCATATAGCTTTTGATCTTCTTGTTTTACAACCGACATCTTGGTGTAGTCAAGAAAATATGTTTGACATATTTTCTGCTGACATAAAATATGTCAAACATATTTTCTATCAATCACTGAATTGCTTTCTGATGACAAATAATTTTAGAAATGAAACAAAAGCAGAAAATGATTCACACATAAAATTGAGTCAAAATATGTCAATAGAAAATATATGGAGCATATTTTATGTCAGCAGAAAATAATTTAGACATGTATCAGAAATATTTGACAGATAACAACCCTTGTTATCATCACATGATGAAAACTTTTTATCATATCTTACCATATTTTATTATATATAAGTATCAAATACACCAATTAATTGTTAAAATAAAAAATAAAATAAAATTGTTGTTTGAGATTAGGTCATTTTTTTTTTTTTTTAACAATATGGTATTTGGTCAAATAGTTGGCAATATTCGGATGAATACCAAATTGTAAAAAAAAGTAGCCAAATAGGCTGAATACTGAATAGTCACCAAATATTCGTGACATCTCTAACAAATATGGGTCTTGACTGGAAAATAGAAATTTTGCATACTTGCGCTGATTCGAAAGTGGTATTTCATTGGGTTACCGACGCACTCACTGGAAAATCTAGATTAAGGACGAAAGCTTCAAATGAAATGCTGATAAAAAGAAGACTTAAGGCTATTGTGAATATAGTAAAAGAATACCAACTTAAAGTAGATATTAAGCTTGTTGCTTTGGAGTTTAATTTTAGCAGATAAACTCTCTGAAATGGCAGCAAGTAGCATTATTAAAAAAAATCAAGCATGTTCATAGATCTAGAGGAGATTTTGGCATGAAGAAAACATTGTGTTTTTGACCCGCCAGTAAGCAAGGAAGAAGAAAAAAATAAAAAAGTCCAATAAAATGCAATATGCAGGCCTTCTCGTAAGAGGCGTGCATATTGCATTTTATTGGAACACGCATATAGTTCTTTGTTTTAACAACTTGACCACAGCTCATTGCAAGTTTTGATAATTAGCGTGTTTAAAAAATGCGTTAAAAAAACAAAGCAAATTAAAATAAACAACCCATAAACTGAAAAGAGACCTAAAAAAGTAAAACATTTAAAGAATGATAAAATAAATACAGGAAAAACCAGAAAAAAATCAAAATATTTATTAATGTAAACTTAATTAAAAGCAATAGTGAAAAAATCACAGCTCTAATAATCTTTATCATTCCTTTCCATGAATAAATAGACTAATGCAAGGGCAGATCCATAGTGAGGGAAAGGGTCATGAAATTTAATAATATTTTGTGGTGCAAATTTAAAATTTTATTAAAAAGTTAATAGGATATAGGTTGCAACAAATTGACAAATGTGCGTGCATTTCTTAAAAGACAGACAGAAAAACAAACATCTCGTTTCTTTAATTTTGCTTGTGCAAAATTAAAGAAACGTGATTAAGCTGTTTGATTAAGATTTTTCAAAACGAATACATTACTTCAACAATTTTTTCAAAATAATTTTGCGATCAATAGTTTTTTATTTATTATAAAAAACACATATTTAAAAAGAAAAACAATTAATTTTGAAGACCTTTTTTTAAAATATGCCAAAACATAATTACTTTTTTCAATAGCTTCACTTTTAAGTAAATTAACTAAGTACGCTATAGAAGAAAGTAATTATGTTTTAGCATGGTTTTTAATGCGCTCACAAAATAATGTTTTAGCATAGTTTTTAATGCGCTCACAAAAGTATTCATAACTTTACTTAAAATAAATGCTTTTGCAAAAACTTCAAAAGAAACCGTCTTTAAACAATTTGATTGCTTTCTTTTATTGTAAAAAGCAATCATAATGTTCAAGCATGGTTTCTTTTATGTTTTTAGCAATTACATTAAAAATTTAAAACAAATGATTTCATTATAAATAAAATTGTGCATGCTTTTTTTTTTAAATTTTCTTATTTTCCATAAAGTGAAATAATATTTGTTTGCATATTAAAAACACTTTTAAAAGTTTTTTATATTGTGCGTTTATCATTAATTTGCGCGCTTTTTGCAAATGTGTAAAAACAGAAGTGTTTGAAAAATAACAATTGAATTAATTTACCAAGCATCTTTGATATATTTAATAACTTATTTACTAGAATAAAAATTATTTGAAATTTGTTTGACATAAATCTCTAAAATTAGACATTTATCAATAAATAAAGATACTCATTTTACCTTAAATTTTAATCTGAATATTTTTTTCAATGATTGCTTTAATTAAGTTGCATTAAAGTACTCAGGAAATTTTGTGGTAGTTTAATTGTAATTATGGAATCAATTAAATTAAAAATTGCATTTACATTTGCTTTGTTTTTTTCAGTGCATTTTTTAAACGCGCTAATTATCAAAACTTGCCGTGGTCAAGTTGTAAAAACAAAGAACTATATCCATGGTCATATAAGGCCTAAGACAAGTAAGAACTGACAACAATTCAAAAAAAAACCTTAGACAAGCAAGTGGTGACAATGATTCAAATGAGCATCCAGAAGATGATAAAGAACTATGCGTAATGCTGCCTGGAGATGAAACAAACAAGACGCCTGTGTTGAAACAGGTGGGAAAAGAGGGCGCCTGAGCGTTATAATCCATGAGATGATATGGTTGTTATGACCAAGGAGAAGTGTAAATATAGTAAAAGATTGTTTTAAAGCTAATTAATCAATTAGAATTGTAAATATTTGTATATGTATAAAGACATAATTGTATATAATATAAAAACATAATTGTAAATATCAAGAGAATTGGTTTGTATATAAATTATGTTGAATTGCATTAAGATGGGCATTATACGCTTAACTTATAAAGATCTTTTTTATATGAAACAACATTTGTATTATGACTATTAGTTAAAATTACTTATGAATAATAAAAATAAAAAATTAAAAATAACTTACAGATCAACTTCTGAATCACACTCCTTATTATACTTTTTAGAATCACTTTGAGACTTTGTCTCAATACTTTTCTCTTCAGAGTCATCTGAGTCAAATTGTTCCATAAACTCATCAGCTGACATATTTTTTATCTTTTTTTTGTTTTTTTTAATTGACATTTTCGAACTGTTCTTTAGTGTGTAAGTATTACAAAAAATATATATTCGACTGGTTAACCTAAAATAACAATACGCCAATTAAAAATAATAAATAAAATATAAGATATAATAGATAAAACATTATTTAAAAAAGTATAATAAGTTAAAGACCTTTTAGATTAATTAAAGTAAATAATCAAATTTTAGAAATTAATTTAATTAATATAAAAGATTTTCAATATGTATAGTATGTTATAATCTAATCCTTTATTTTCCCTATATTTTATATTTATTGTTATATTTACAATTGTACCATCCTAAGAGTTTGTTTCTTATTTATCAAAAAGATGTTACCTTAAAAAAAGTTATAACATGTGGAGCATTAATCATGTTAAGGTTGACCCATATCTTATATAACAACTTTTAACTTACCAGGTTAAAAAAAATGTTTTTGAAATTATTTTGTTAACGATATTATTTGATTGTTATTCCGATAAATGTTTTTATAGGGTTTTTTTTGGTTTTTTTAATTGCTATTTTAAAACTATTCTTTAGTGTGTAAGTATTATAAAAAATTTATATTTGACAAGTTAACCTAAAATAATATGCCAATTAAAAATAATAAATAAAATATAAGATACAATAGATAAAAAATTATTTTTAAAAGTATAATAAGTTAAACACCTTTTAGATTAAAGATTAGATTAATCCTGATTGTAAATAAGTCTTTAAAAAAGCTAAATAAGTACCTAAATTATGACTTGGCATTACTGGTTCAGTGGTTGCGATCAAACAAAATATCTCTGAATGTCAAAAAAACTGAATTAGTTCTATTTAAACCTCGAGGGGAAAAAATTACCAAAAAACTTAATTTTAGAGTTAGTGGTCAAAAAATAAATATTTTATATAAAATGTCTAGGCATATTATTAGATGAAAATCTTTTGTTCATTCAATAAATTAAATCCATAGCAAACAAACTAAGTCAAGCAAATGGAATGATTATCAAAATAAAGCATTTTGTAAATTATGAAACCTTTGTGAATATTTGGTATGCTATTTTTAACTCCCATCTACACTATAGTTGTCAGATATGAGGACAAACTTCATCCATTTATTAAAAAAAACCTAATAAATCTCCAGAATAAATCATTAAGAATAATTCACTTTCAACCTAACAGTTTTAGTTCTGACTTACTATATAATCTTTCTAAAATCTTAGGCTTGACAAACTTATCAAACTGTGTACTTGTACGGGACATTGTCAACAATAATATGCCCAGCTGTTTTACTAGCTATTTTAAATTCAAAAATAATATTCATATTTATAAACTTAGGTCTGTATCTTATTGTAATCTCTCTAAGCCTTTAAAACAAACACATAAGTATGGTATAAAGTCAATCAAGTATAAATCAATTCACTATTGGAACTCTCTTCCTGTTAAAACTAAAAAAATTCAAAATGACAAATAGAAATGCTTTTATAACACTCATGTAAAAAACTTTCTCCTTAATAATAATAATTAATGAACTACCATTTATGCAACCACCCCCTAGTTATTCTTTATAACTAATTTTTAATAAAATAAAAGTATAAAACTCATAAATAAATATATAAAACCCATAAAATAGAAATAAAAATATAAAACTCATAAAATAAAAATAAAAATATAAAACTCTAAAAATAAAAATATAAAACTCTAAAAGTAAAACATATAAATATATAAATGTTTATCTAGTCGCAATCAAATACCCTAATTTTTATCATCCTATAAAGTCTATATGACTCTAAAAGATTGTGGCATTGTATTAAACCATTTAACATGTAATAAATATACAATAAATTATTTCCTATGCAATGGCCCCTGCCTAATTCTCTTTAATCATTTTTTTTTCTAATTTTCTTTATTTTACTTTAATGCATATTCAATATTTCTATCTTCTTCTAAAATTATATGCTTAAAAAATTCTGTTACATAAAGTTCTCCTAGGACTTCTTCTACTTCGCCTCTTTTTTCCTAGTCGTTAAACTTCTATCCATTTTTTTTTCTTTTTATCTGTCTTCCTTTTTGTTATTGATATTATGATTCTTATATTCTTATTTTGGATTATTATTAATGATAATCACAATTTGCTATAAATGTTTTATTTTAATTATATTAGTAAATTATATATACATTATACTGTTTTATATTACTGTATTTAATATTGTTACTAATATTATTATTAGCATTTATTTCTATTATTATTAATAATATTTATTTTTATTATTTTATTATTATGCTATTATTTATACCATTATAGGTCTTTACACGTCATCAGTTTATAACTGTTTGTAAATGTCCCGCACGATTGTGTATATATATACAGTATTATTAAAGTGAAAATATATTGATTTGATTTTGATTATATTAAATTTTATTTTTGCAATTTAAATGTTAAAATAAAATAACTTTAAAAAATGTTAAAAATAAAATAAGATGTTAAAAATAAAATAACTTTATCAGCATCATTAAAGACCGTTACACAACAACTTGTAGTAATTAATATTTTCCTTTTATATTTTAAACTTGTATTTTTGACATGAGTGAATAGTTCCAAATAATGAAAATTGATTAGTTTCAAACAATGCGAAATCTTTAATAACCATGAGGTTTATTTTTATGTCTTAGATGTTTTGGATTCTATTCCCCTATTGATTTCAGGTAGGTACAATCAGCAGAGCAGCATTAGCACACAATAAGCTAAATTCTTATAAGAAATTTGCCAAATAATATGGCAGATGACATGTACACAAAACACAAACAGATCTTCCAAATTCTAATATTTGATCTACTAAATAACTCGACAGATCACATGTTAGAATTAGGTTGTTCAAATTTCTACAAGTTTTGGAACAATGTATCACATTTTATTAAAGATCAATGGTAAAATGAAGATAGAGCATTGTGTCTATTTGATTCTTTCTACCATTAAGTTTCAATATGGAGTGGGTTGTTTTTCATAATTCTAATATTTGTTCTGCCGAGTTATTTGGCAGATCTATTGTGAGAATTCAGCTTATTTTATAATCCAAAAAAATGTCTCTAATAAGAATTTAACTGATTTTATAACCAGCTCAGCTGTTTGTACTATATAAATAATCTGCTCATCCAATCTGCTTTGTTCTGCCGATTGTACTTACCTCTGATTTCTTACATAGCAGCCATGGTTATATAAAAATTTTTTTTATAATTAAGTCAGCATATTTCACAAGTGTATGACAATTTACAGTAGCTAAGACATTTACGACTTCCTGTAACTTAGTTTTTGGTATTAATTGAAGTTTTATTAATTCATATGTGTCGATTGACAAAACAGTGTAAAATGAGAAGTGCTTCTTGTGTTACTTAGCCATAATAAACTTATTAAAAATTTTAAACTTCAGTTTTAAAATAAAATATTAGTAACATGGGTTAATTTAGTGAACCTCCTTGAGTGTTTGAATGTAGTTGCATAATGTATATAATATACATGTATAAAATATTTAATAAATATGGCGCACGTGGGCTAAAATAAGGGGAAATACTCTTCAGCGATTCCATGATACGCGTAAATGCGAGAAAACAAAAATTTGCGGTATTTACATTTTTAAAATAAAAAATAAACTTTATTATAATATTGAAATAACCTAAATATTTCATAAAAATTAAACTTTTCATAATTTTTTATGTATGTTTTTAACAGATATAAATCAAAATACGAGCGTCACAACGTGACATCAATTTGTCACACCGTGAGTCTCTTATTTGTGCAAAAAACTCATAAAATTTATCCAAAAGAACATATAAAAAATTTTTTAACACATAGATATATAATTGTAGTTCCTCGATAAAAGAAAAACATCGAGGCATGTGGAATTGCTGTCCTATTTAATGACATAAACCCGTTATGCACGTCTCGCATTGCATATAAACTGTGATCATATTACAGGGTGACCAGAAAGTTTTGGCACTCATTTTTATTAGTTTATTAGACTTAAGAAAATGTATTATTTATCAATATTTTTGTTTCCATTAGATTCCTATGTAAATTTTTAATCGTTTTCAGGCATTTTAATGGCATTAATTTAAATCTTTTTTATTTTTAGTATGAAAGTCACAAAAGACCATCAAGTTTCTATAGAGCATTTGTTCTTTAGTGGATGCATTGGAGCAGAGATAGCAAAAAGACTTAAAATTCCTCGAAGAACTGTCTATAACAATTTGAAACGTTTAAAGGAGACAGGCAGCACCCAAGACAAGCCTAGAAGTGGAAGACCATCGATATCAAGTAGCAAAATTATAATCAAAAAAGTGCGTGATAGAATTCGTCAAAATCCAAGGAGGTTGATAAGAAAAACAGCAAATGATTTGCAAATAGGTCGTGAATCCCTGAGAAAAATATGCATAGATAAGCTAAAGCTATCCCATAAAAGATCCAAAAAGCTCATCTTCTCACAGACAAAATGAAGAAAGTAAGAATGGAAATCTTTTGCTCAAACGTTTTTCTTCGGCGCACCACTTAGGAATTGTTTTCACTGATAAATGTTTATTCAATCTTGAAGCTTTCTTAAACCATTAAAATGATCGGATATTGTCCAGAAGTACCAGTGATGCAAACATGAAGGGTAGAATTGCTTCTCGTTTAGGACATCCGTAATCCGTTATGGTTTTTGGAGGGATAACTTCCGATGACAAAACTCCTTTAGTTTTTGTGGACTTAAAGTTTTTGTGGAGTTAAAATTAACAGTCAAACCTATTTAAATGAAGTCCTTATAAAAGAAGTACTTCCAAGGTCCTAATCACACTTTGGTACAAAGCCCTGGACATTACAACAGGATTCAGCTTCTTCCCAAAAGACAAAAATTGTTCAAGGGTAGTGCAAAAACAATTTTCCAGATTTTATCAGCGCCCAAGAATGGCCTCCCTACTCGCCAGATCTCAACCCATTGGATTATTCCGTGTGGTCAGTTTGAAGATGGCATGTTCTATCTCTCACAGAAATTTAAACTCTTTGTGTCAAACACTTCAAATATATATATATAAAGGAATGGAATAATC